ACACTATACCACAAACACCGTATGAAACAAAATAAAAAAAAAGAGATAAAACAATAAGAATGACTTCGAAAATCTAACGCCGAGTAGGTTATTCACCACACGTGTTAAGTAAAACATTACAAATAAGCATACATACATTGAAAATAGTTAGTCCACAGCTCTCATAGATAAACTGCTCATACTAAACTTACCAATAGATAATTTGATTATCTTCTTCAGTATGATTAATTAGATAAAAACGAAAAACCAGGTCTCGTTTTTGTTTGTTGTTTTTTCATCACATCATAGAATATATAGAATAACAGCTATGTTAACACTAATAAGTATGTTCTTCCTGTTTTCAGCTATAAATTTATATCGTGTTTCACAAAATTCAAATATATATATATTTGTTGCTATCATAATTTCACTTTCCTGTAGGCACTAAAGGTGAATGTGTAGTACTAAGTTTTAAAACTCCACATTCTTGTACTTCTGAAAAGAGCCCGGCATGGCCAGGTGGTTAAGGCGCTCGATTCGCAATCTGAGGGTCGCGGGTTCGAATCCCCGTCCCACCAAACATGCTCGTCCTTTCAGCCGTGTGGGCGTTATAATGTGACGGTCAATCCCACTATTCGTTGGTAAAAAAGTATCCCAAGAGTTGGCGGTGGGTGGTGATGTCTAGCTGCCTTACCTTTAGTCTATCACTGCTAAATTAGGGGCGGCTAACGCAAATAGCCTTCGTGTAGCTTTGCGCGAAACTCAAAACAAACGAACTTCTGAAAACTAAGGAATTTGTTATAGAATAATGAAAAATATTACTAGGGTTGTTTAAATCGTAGCTAAATTTATTTGCAGCTAAATAAGTTGTGTGGTGTGTCTCACATTTTTGTTTTTGTAGAATTACTGATCTTTCTAGTTTATCTTTAGTTTTCCTTTATTTTACTTTCATTCTAATTCAGTTTATGTTCAGTTTTCCTTTATTTTACTTTCATTCTAATTCAGTTTATGTTCAGTTTTCTTTTATTTTACTTCATTCTAATTCAGTTTATGTTCAGTTTTCCTTTATTTTACTTTCATTCTAATTCAGTTTATGTTCAGTTTTCCTTTATTTTACTCTCATTCTAATTCAGTTTATGTTCAGTTTTCCTTTATTTTACTTTCATTCTAATTCAGTTTATGAAAACCAGTGGCACAGCGATATGTCTGCGGAATTACAACGCTAGAAACCGGGTTTCGATACCCATGGTGGGCAGAGCACAGATCACCCATTATGTAGCTCTGTGCTTAATTTCAAAACAAACAAACAATTCAGTTTATGATCAGTTTTCATTTATTTGACATTTGAAATTTAATAGTTCGAGTTAGCCTAAAAAGGAAGTTGCTTGATGTTCTCAGTGCTGTAATGAAAGATAAGGCGTGCTCTTTGTTACATGTGTTTCATAGATCTTGTATTAGTTAGAAACCAATAAGATGTTTAGGCTAAATTTGAAGTAAAATAGTATTAATCAATACTCGCTAAAACAACGACACACATATGTGTTACATATGTTAAGTAGCGTTCTAATTAAAGAATGATTAATGGGTAGGTGCTTAGAATCCGCGAAGTATTTGGAGGGTCGGAAGATTTGAACAGTTAAAAAGAATAAGTGACGAAGAGCAAAGAAGAAGCAAAATGTACGATAAAAGCATGTATCTTCACTGTGTACAAAAACAATATAAGCGATACATAATTGAAAATAAAGTGAATTAGAATAAAAGGCCCAGAAGCCCCCAGTGGCACAGCGGCATGTCTGTGGACTTACAATGCTAGAATCCGGGTTTCGATACCCGTGGTGGGCAGAGCACAGATAGCCCATTGTGTAGCTTTGTGCTTAATTACAAACAAAACAAAACAAAAAAAAAGGCCCAGAAAATTACAAAATCTTATCTGTACCATTGCCAGAGTACAGTGTTTTCAAACAGTCTAATTTTGATGTTTCATCATTTTTTGCTACAAAATGTAGACTCACACCTTTTATGTTATATTATTTAGTTTTTACAGCTCATAAAATTTTTTAAAACTACTTGTCTATCGCAAAACGTGCATTAAAAAGTATGATTAAATATGTTTGTCTATTGCAGCAGTAAAACAAAACATCTGCTCTTCATGTTTGAAATGTTCTTTGATTCATGTTCTTCCCTCGTTACATTCAAGTTTTAATACAAATACTTCCTAATAATTTCCTTCCGTATTTTATTTTCTTTAAATTTTAAGAAGTTTTGTAGTAATGTGTAACTGTGATAGGGAATTTTAATGGTTTACTTTTCGTTTTATAGACATGAAGTGCCTCGAATATGTTCATACAAAATACACCAGCACATGATGATAACAAAGTAACTGTACATACGTCATGTATATTTAATATCTGAGAACGATCAAAGTCATGTAACAACCAACGACAAGTACTTGGTTAGGGTAGAATATGAGATATCCAGTTCTGTTCTCCATCACTTCCTGTCGAAGTATAGGGTAAGGAGTAGTGTAGCGGTAAAGAGTCTAATTTGTTTAAAGTAGATCATCTTCATTACAAGTCACAAGTGCGCAAGTCACAAGTGCGCACTATGCAACTTGATCTTATTCGGCTAAAGAATAAATTGAAAACTTAGCAAATCTTGGACTAATAAAAAAAGGTAATATAAAGGAAACAAGTAAACGAGTGAGACAAATAGAGATTATTGTGAATTAACGTGCAAAGTAAAATTTAATCTATAAGTTATAATATTTGAATAAACTCGTGGAAGTCATGCGTTGTACTGATTTTAGCGTTGTACATATGTAAACTTAACGTTGTCCCACCGGGAACTAATAAGTTTCTACCAAATATATATCGAATATTTTAACCCCCAACTATTGTTACATCTAATTTTAGAAACGTCCAGAGTTTAAGCAATAAATAAAATGTTTTGGTTAATGTAAGCTTACTCTTTCAGACGATGTCTGTTCTTGAAATTAAAACATGTAATGTTACAGCCTGTTCTACGACATTAAAAGGCTAAAGTAACAAGCGAAATGAGCAAATATTCTGGCCAGAGAAATATAAGAAGCGATAAAAAATATTGCAACCAAATTAGGTAATGCTTAGGGTTGGGCGTTACCCAATAGTTATTGTGTCAGGTTACGAATCGTAAAATACAGGGTTTTAGAAGTGATACCGGTAAATACGTTCCGCAGCTTTAACTAGGAAGAAGTTTAAATATTATCATATTATGTGAAACTAGTAAGTGAAGGTGTTTTCAATATTATCATACCCGTATACAGCTAACAAGCAGAAGTGTTTAACGTAAATGTTATCCTACAATTGTGGAATTAATAATGCTTGGAGACGGCTTGAATGGGTAATGAACAAAAACTTTAATATAAGTTTAACATAGCAGCAAATGTACAACGTTTCGACATGGTTTTGTCATCATCAGGTACCTTGTCGAAACGTTGTACATTTGCTGCTA